CACACACACACACACACACACACACACACACACACACACACACAGGAAAAAATAGATTTGTGAGATTTTGACAAATACCTCAAAGGCTTTATCAGATCCAGAGAAGCCAGGGTCATTAATCACCATTTTAGGTCAACACACTTTCTAACTTCTCCCCATCCATCAGCTCTACTGGAGCCAGCTCTTTTATAGAGAAATAGACATCCAAAATTAGCTCAGAGGACCATTTTCTTTCTTTTGAAACATGTGCGCTGACCTCTGAAAAGGGGCGCGTTAAACCAATTCCTGAGAATTCCTGTTTTCATTCACCTGTTAGAGGCTCGTTCTGAAGGAGCAGCACACTGAGGATCTTATTATCAACTGGCTGCCCTTGCTACGAGGCTGTTGAACAGACAGCTGTGTCTCGGCTGATAAACAAAGGTCCCGTTCTCTCGCTCCAAACTCGGGATGCTCAGCGGTGGCTGATAATTTCAGCGGCGTCGCTCAGTTTGATTGATGGAGCCTCGCCCCTCCTCAGCCCCCCCCCCACCCCCCCACCCCCCTCTAGGTGCAACGGAGGGATGTTTCTCATAAAAGATGATGCATCAAACTGCATGTGAATTCCAAAATGCAATTGTGCCGGTCTAAATTGTCAGCATCCCTGAGAAGGAGGCGGGGTTGAGGACGAGCCTCCAGAGCGTTGCCAGTACCTGAAGGTGTTTTATTCTAGTAGTGACACTTCATTTCAGTTACAGTAATGAAAATGTGGTGTGTTACAACGAGGCACGCGCCGGAATGGCAACACTTGAAGTTCAGCCATGACAAACCCGCGATTAAAAAACAATATGAAGATATTGAGGGAGACAAACTTTTCATAACTTCATGCATATTTTACAGGGCAATTAACTTTCTCTCATAATATTCTGTTCTCTAAAGTCTGCGGAGGAAAAAAAAAACCCCCAACAAATCGGATCCTATTTATAACACAGAGCTGCAGCAAATCTTCCACCGGCTGCAAAGAAAATAGAAGCAGACATGAATCCTTCCTAAACGTCTGAAATAGTGACACTCCAGGCACTGAAACACGCCCCCCAACATACGTATATAACAACTGTTTTGTGGATGCACAGTAAAGAGCTCAGGGCGGATCATTACTTTTGGGATTTTTCACGAAATGATTTTGTCTGAGTTTCACACATTTCAGTCACTTTTTAGTAGCTGCACGGAGGTCTGGGCGATATACTGTGCAATTACAAAGACCATAGAGCACCATTTCTACTGAGGTATCTATCTATCTCTTTTAATATCTCTAGATACATTAGGCCAATGCAGACAATGTTGCAAATCAATGACCAGGAAAGCTTTATGGCACCAATGTGATGAAGCGTGTCAGATATTAAATTATGAGATATTAAATCAGAATCTCCATCTGGACAATATTTAATCTATATTTGTTTCTGTAGTTTTCAATAAAAAAAAAAAAAAAGATGATAATAGCAGTGTGCTGCTATGAACTCAGTGTGTGTCTATATTACCATCTGGTGCTGGAAAGTGTGCTCTGTCTGTGGACCCAGGTGCAAACTCCTGCGCTACTCAAGTGTCCTTGAGCAGAAACCTTGAATCCCTGTCAGCTGCGGTTAATGGAGGATTTCCTTTCTATTCGTCATTATGTCATAGAACAAAGCATACTGCCCAGGGACTACGGATGTAACTTAGCTAATAGCTAACTCTGGTACAGCTAAGAAGCTGTGCATTGTCCCAGTCAAATAAATATAAAACGCATAAATAAATAAATCCCAACGTCTGTTTGAGAGTGAAACAGGATGCATGTAGAGAGTTGCTGTACCTTCTGCTTTGCTGTATCCTGCGGTCTCCTCTCTTCCATGTTATCCGTGGTTTGGGCGATGCTCTGGGTTTGCACTCCAGCAAAACGTCTTTTCCAAGCGTGGCAATGACCCGTACGGGATTGTGGACAAAGACAGGAGGCGACGCTGTGCAAGACAGACGCACGGCATTTTAAATGTTGGAATAAAGTGAGATGGACCATAATGCAGTCATATCATAGTAAAACACACTAATATTCTGACATATTCATACCATATGTGATTTATTATTTCCAAATGTTCCATGTCAAATGTCTTTAAAATCAGTTGAGCTCATGTTAAAAGACATTATGAGCATTTTATTTGTAATGTGTGCACAAATATTGATCTATCTTTAGAACAAACGCTGAATCAAAGGACTCCTGATAACAGGGCTTATTGTGAAGACCATTCACTTTTTTTCTCGGCACACAAACTAAAACTAAAACAATGCTGCCTTGTCTGAAAACCTGTTTTCAGCACAGAGTCTACCATAAGCTAATCATATCGTATGCTACCTGCTCAAGGGAAAAGGACACCAATGGGATCTTCGTGTTTCTGCTGAACGGCCAAATAACATCTGAACACGACTCGACGAGCTTTGTGTGATTTTGTGGTAAAACAAACCTTTTTAAAGTGGCTTTTCCTTAACTGTGCGGTTAATGCATTTACAAACGTAAAACACGTAGTAACACGTCTTCAACTCTGACATTTCAAAGTCATTATTTGTAAAATGCTGGAGGGCTTAGACTGACACATCATGACTCAAAATGCTTGATTGAAATGCTAATTTGTTTAAAGGTAATAACTAGATTTTCCATGTGAAGTATAACAAAGCACGCTTCTATATAAACATGCTTTTATATACTGCATAGCGACCCGTACTTTGTCTTAATTATGTGCTAATTCAGTATCCACAACAGTTCTACAAATACACAATGTGTTGTTCAGTCTAATTACTTAATAATTGTCATGTTAATGATGACATGCTCGGGTGATTCGCACTGCTTTTATGAAAACAGTATTAACCCATATTTAACCAGGCTGCCTGAGTGAATAACAAATGTGTTTTTTTAACAATCATGGCTCGCTCCAGAGAATGAATTAGGCACTAATGGTCTAAATAAGGCTTCAGGCCCCAAAGCAGACGTGGTACTGGTATAGTTGTGATGCACATCAAGGCCATCTACAGGCTGCAAGGCTTTGTCAGCTGTGATTATTCTAATCCCGAATGATGCTTTATAGGTGACATTATACACAATGACAATTCAATCCCATCTGTAGCTATAGGCTGACCCCTGTCCCTGCAACACTTGTGTCTTTGAGGCTGAGTAGTTGCCTGAGAGGCAGAGGTCCCTCTAGACACGGAAAGCAGCGGAAAACAGAGCAGTTGCTGTGTGTATTTGTTTTAATCAAAATAAGAGCAGGCCTGCAGCCTGGTGGCAGCCGTACCCTTATTGCTTCACTCGCCACCCTCCCAGAAGAGCCGGATCTGGGACAAGATCACAAGGGGCGAGGGCAGCCGCTGCACCCGTGCAGCCTCAAGTGATCGCTCATCTGCAGGCTGTTATTAGCCATGTAATCTGTCCTGATAGTGTTTGCTTGTGGACATCTCCACAGAGCACAGGTCACTGGGAAGACATGCCTGGGGGGTGTAGTTATGAAAGCATTCATCACCAGCTTCCAAACATCATCATTGTGACTGTGACTCCAAGGAAGGCAAAGAAACTTCCTCATCAGCTCACGGAAAGCGTATTAAATACTAGACTTTCTCACTCTTAGAGGCAACACGTTGCAGTCAAATTAACTACAAAGTGGTCGTTTTAAACGGATGGGGCGTAGGGACAAAACATTCCATGGATCTTCCACAAAAACCTTTGTACATTTCCAATAGGATTTTCAAAATGCCACACATTCCCCCTCAAAAAAGGGCATGCCACACGGACGGTGAATCAAAGTGTCCCTCTGGGGATGGGTGTCACCAGATGTGTCCCAGTATAGAAGATGACAAGGAGAAAATAGTGCATCAACACAGAACAGTGGACGGCCATTCAGTATGACTACTGTGCACTCAGCCTGAAGCCTTGTGCGTTAGTCTGAAGAGCACAGTTTCCTTTGCTTTTAGTGTCCCTAGATTCTCAAGTACATGCGACTCCTGTTTCGCTACTTTGAAAAAGGAAGACAAATATTCATTTGAAAAAATGAAGATATTTTACAATGTGTGAGTTATTGTTAATAAGGAATGGAGGAAGTACTACACTGAACAAATATGCTCTGTTACAAGCAAAAGTCCTCCATTCAAAATGACTTTGGTGAAAATATTTATATATATATTAATCTGAAAAATACCCCCCCTTCTGACAAATAATATCATATTTGTATTATATCATTACATTAATACATTAAATAATTTAAAAGAAAAGCAGTAAATTGTAATATATGTAAAGCTGGAACCAGAAAATTATTTTTGCTTTAAAATGAATTAAATTAATTGACCCTTCAGTAAATCCTGCCTCTCGAAAACAGACTGGCCAATCGTAGCGTAGCATCAGCCAACCTCCAGTAGCTCTGCTCCATAGACTCTCATGCAATTGTTTCGGAATTCCATTTCAGGCTGTTTTTGTGGACTTGGAGGTAATCATGGTTAAACGTTGAGTAACAGTGATACTCTTTACCTATTGAGTTCGGAAGCAGATACATGTTTCTAAAACGATACTATTACATGTTAAAAGCTGTAGAGCTAACTTTAGCAGAGTATTCATTAACTAGCGTTAGCACGTCTATGCTACGCTAGCTACTGAAGGTATACGGAACGTGTACACATTCAGCTTTTCCATTTTAATAAACAGTGTTGTTATTTTAATCTGATTGTCTTCAGTCTCGATCACCAGGTGATGTGGTGGTTCACGTTCACACTGTGATCTGTAGCTTTAGCTTCTGTCTTTAATCTTTATAAACGTTTTCACTGCTATATCAGTTCAACATGCTTGATATATCCTTCAATCGCATATTGTAGACCCCTCTGTCTGCTTCTCTGGGAAATTACTTTTGCTTTTTTACAATAATTTCACAACATATATGCAGGGAGTGCAGTTAGTGACAGTGTGGGCTCCATGTTAGCTCTGACAGCTTGGCAGAGGAGCAGAGGGGGGCGGGGCTTAATGAAGGGTCAATAGACTAATCCTTTCAGCTGTACTTGTACATTTTCATATATTTTTAAAACTGTCGGATTAATGTAGTACCTCAAATCTGTACGCAAGTACAAAACTTGAATAAATGTACTTATTTGACATTACAATTTATTATTAAACTACAATAGAAAACACTGACTAACAAATACCTGATGGAAGTCAAGCCCGAAACGAAGGTTTGGTTTTTTTCTGTGTAATGAAGATTGTGATGTAGGCTGTGCTTTGATGACGAAGAATAGAGCGGAGATAAGACCCTAATGGAGTCATTAAACTCCATCAAAGAAACCATTGATGTCTCTCTTTTAGTGTTTGCTCCCCATTAGTATAAATCTATACCTACAAGTCATTGCTTTTCGTTCTCCTCTGATATCACAAAGGACTGTTCCAGACCATCCTCAACTTGATGCAGGCAGACACCTCATTGAATATAACCATAAGGGTCCTTCTTTTATTCATGCCGTCCACTGCCTAGGATAAATCAGGGACCATTGATTGGCAATCAGCACATCTCACAGTTCAGTGTTCCCCACTTGCATTTCAATCTCCCTTACCTATCATCCAGTACCTTATTCAGATGCCAATACTCAGTCTGTGATTCCAGAGATTGCAGAGAATCAAGAAATGAGTTTGCCCGAAAGTAAAGGCTGCCTCATGAAAATGACACAAACCTTTCTTTCAATGCCATGTTTTGTCTATTCTAAATTATAAACCGCATGTATAATTACCTAAAATCTTGAGTTCGGCGTTAGAGTAGATGGCCCCGTACTTATTTCCTGCGACACACTGGTACATTCCTGAGTCCGCCTGCTGCACTCTGTGAATAGTCAGCTCTCCGTTCATTATTTCAACTCGGCCCTGTAACAAGAAGAATGCATCAATGGACAACCTATCTAAATATAGATACACTGTACATCATTAAGAATATATAGTGGATGTGTAGTTTCATAACGATAATTCAGATGTTTCATGGTGCAATCAACAAAAGGAGAGGGCACAGTGTAGTATGGTAGGTACCTGGGATGTCAAGGGCAGACCATTAAGAAGCCAGTGATAGGTGGGCCGGGGCCTCCCCATGGCCTTGCACTCCCACTGGAGCTTCTCTCCACTATCCATCTGGGTGTCATTAATCATCCTGACCCACTGAGGGAGGGCTGGAAGATAGAAAAAAAAGAATCTAGAATAAGTAATATATCCTTGAAACACACCTGTATGTAGAGGAGAAGAAACAGGCAATGCACAAATACGTAGTCAACACACAATGTAAGAGGTTGTAGTTAAGAAAGTGGATGTTGTAATGCTTTTTTGTATCCCACTATTATTTGTTCTTGAAACAAAAATCCTTGAATCCACCCTAGACACGCTGACTTTTATTGCTCCTGCACTTAACAGAATTAATTCATAAATCACACAATGTATCCGGGAATAAGACATCGTTTTTTTGGATCCTCTCTTATGCTCTTTAACCCTAAAGAACTGAAGGAAAATGCACATGCTCACAAGCAGACATTATATAAAGGAGGGGGAAGGTTTATAATGGTGTTCAGTACTAAACCGACCTGTTCCAAGTACAGACGCTTGGTCAGTGCCCCTAAGAGTATGATACAGAGGCACCCTTTAACTTCTGTATAAGAAGAACCGGGCTTTCAACTAACTCCAATGTAAACCGATCCCTATAATTATTAGGCACTAGGAGCAACTGACGTAGTATAAAGAGCGTGCAAGTCCACGTAGTGCAGGTGAGAGTTGAGGTTGGATAGGTCAGACAGACAAAGGACTTTCGCCCAGGTCCATGTCCTGTGTAAAACCAAGGCAACATAGACTTATTTTACTATCATTTTGCAACGTAGCTGACGTTGGAACTAAGGCCACATATGTAACAGACTTATACAACGCAACAAACATACTCTTTCTAACCCAAACCACAACCTTTTCCTAGGCCTAACCAAGTACTTGTGTTGCCTAAACCTAACCAAGTACTTGTGTTGTCTAAACCTAACCAAGTACTTGTGTTGTCTACACCTGACCAAGTACTTGTGTTGTCTACACCTAACCAAGTACTTGTGT